ACACATCCACACACCCACACCACACCACACACACCGTGTACACACCCACACACCCACACCCATACCACACCCATACCACACCACACACACACACCGTGTACACACCCACACACCCACACCCATACCACACCACACACACCGGGTACACACCCACACACCCACACCCATACCACACCACACACACATACCGTGTACACACCCACACCCACACCCATACCACACCCATACCACACCACACACACCGTGTACACACCCACACACCCACACCCATACCACACCACACACACCGGGTACACACCCACACACCCACACCCATACCACACCCACACACACATACCGTGTACACACCCACACACCCACACCCATACCACACCCATACCACACCACACACACATACCGTGTACACACCCACACCCACACCCATACCACACCCATACCACACCACACGCACACACCGTGTACACACCCACACCACACCCACACCACATACACATACCGTGTACACACCCACACCCACATACCCACACCCATACCACACCCATACCACACCACACACACATACCTTGTACACACCCACACCCATACCACACCCATACCACACCCATACCACACCCACACCCATACCACACCCATATCACACCACACACACATACCGTGTACACACCCACACCACACACCACACCCACACACCCCCACAAACACATACCGTGTACATACCCACACACCCACACCACACACCACACCCATATCACACCCATACCACACCACACCCACACACCGTGTACACACCCACACCCATACCACACCCACACACACATACCGTGTACACACCCACACCACACCCACACCACACACACACCACACACACACCGTGTACACACCCACACCCACACACCCACACCACACACACATACCGTGTACACACCCACACACCCACACACACACCCACACCACACACACATACTGTGTACACACCCAAACCCACACACCCACACCCACACCACACATACATACCGTGTACACACCCACACCACACACCCATACCACACACATACCACACCACACACACACACCGTGTACACACCCACACACCCACACCCATACCACACCCATACCACACCACACACACACACCGTGTACACACCCACACACCCACACCCATACCACACCCACACACACACACTGTGTACACACCCACACACCACACCCACACCACACACACACCACACCCACACCACACCCACACACCCACACCCATACCACACCCATACCACACCACACACACATACCGTGTACACACCCACACACCCACACCCATACCACACCACACACAGATACCACACCCATACCACGCCCATATCACACCACACACACATACCACACCGATACCACACCACACACACATACCGTGTACACACCCACACACCCACACCCATACCACACCACACACACACACCACACCCATACCACACCCATACCACACCACACACCCATACCACACCCATACCACACCACACACAGATACCGTGTACACACCCACACCCACACACCCACACCCATACCACACCCATACCACACCACACCCACACCACACCCACATACCCACACCCATACCACACCCACACCACACCACACACACATACCGTGTACACACCCACACCACACACACCACACACATACCATACCACACACACATACTGTGTACACACCCACACACCCACACCCATACCACACCCATAGCACACCACACACACACACCGTGTACACATCCACACACCCACACCCATACCACACCACACACACACCGTGTACACACCCACACACCACACCCACACCACACCCACACCACACACACACCACATCCACACCACACCCACACACCCACACCCATACCACACCCATACCACACCACACACATATACCGTGTACACACCCACACACCCACACCCATACCACACCACACACACATACCACACCCATACCACCCCCATACCACACCACACACACATACCACACCCATACCACACCACACACACATACCGTGTACACACCCACACACCCACACCCACACACCCACACCCATACCACACCCATACCACACCACACCCACACCACACCCACACACCCACACCCATACCACACCCACACCACACCACACACACATACCATGTACACACCCACACCACACACACACCACACCCATACCATACCACACACACATACCGTGTACACACCCACACACCCACTCCACACCCACACCACACACATACCACACCACACACACATACCGTGTACACACCCACACACCCACAGCACACCCACACCACACCCATACCACACCACACACACATACTGTGTACACACCCACACACCACACCCATACCACACCACACACACATACCATGTACACACCCACACACCCACACCACACCCACACCACACCCATACCACACCACACACACATACCGTGTACACACCCACACACCCACTCCACACCCACACCACACACACACCACACCCGTACCACACCACACACACATACCGTGTACACACCCACACACCCACACCCACACCACACCCATGCCACACCACACACACATACCGTGTACACACCCACACACCACACCCACACCACACCACACACACATACTGTGTACACACCCACACACCCACACCACACCCACACCCACACCCACACCACATCACACACACATACCGTGTACACACCCACACACCACACCCATACCACACCACACACACATACCGTGTACACACCCACACACCACACCCATACCACACCACACACACATACTGTGTACACACCCACACACCCACACCACACACACACCACACCCAAACCACACCACACACACATACCGTGTACACACACACACACCACACCCACACCACACCCTGCGTACACACACCCACACACACACCACCACACCCTCAAACACACCCCATACACACACCACACCACGCCCATATCCCCCACACACACCACACACATACCTCACACACCATACCCCTCACACACCCCACAAAACACCCAAATACACATACACATAACACCACACACAATACCACATACACACACCACACACCCCCCACACACACTCACACACAGTTGACCCTTGAGCAACACATGGGTTGAGGGAGCAACACAGTGACTCATGCAGTCAAAAATCCACACGTTACTTTTGACTCCGAAAAATCTTAATTCCCAATAGCCTACAGTTGACCGGAAGCCTTACCAAAAACAGAAATAGTTGATGAACGCGTATTTTGTGTGCTGTATGTGTTCCGTTCTTCATTCTTACAATAAAGTAAGCTAGAGAAAAGAAAATGTTATTAGGGAAGTCGTAAGGAAAAGGCGGTGCATTTACTGTGCTTTAAATGGAAGTGGATCATCTTAAAGGTATTCATCCTCTTCATGCTGAGTGGGCTGAAGAGGAAGAGGAGGGTTGTTCTTGCTGTCTCAGGGGTGGCAGAGGCAGAGGAAAAATATACTTGTGTCCTTGGACCCAGGCAGTTCAAACCCATGTTGCTCAAGGGTCAATTGTATGATTTTAATTTTTCTTAAGTTGTGATAAAATGCACACAAAATGTTCTGTCTTTGTAGTAGACAGTTCAGTGGTGTTAAGCGTATTCACATTGTTGTTCAACCAATCCCCAGAATTTTCTCATCTTGCAAACCTGAATCCTATGCCCATTAAACAACACCTCTCCATTCCCCTCCCTCCATCCCCTGGCCATCACCATTCTAATTGAAGATAATTTTCAATGTTAGCAGTTGTAGAACAAAAACATGATGTTTCCCTCCAAAAAGGAATAAATGAAATGAAATCAAGCAAAAGTCTGAAAACTACAAAGCTTCATGTGTATATTTTGAGATATCGCTACGTTCATAAGGAAGTTTTTCTTTACAAGGATAGATATTTTGTGATGGTTTGAGTTTTTGTGTAAAACAGTGATTAAGTTTCGCCGCTGGAGGAAAATGACAACTAAGAAATTTGCAAATGTTTCAGGAACCTACAAGCTCTCTGACTGAAATTATGAGTCCAAGTAGGACAACATACCACACCCTCTTACTTATATGTGGAATGCAAAAAAGTAAACCTCATTGAAACGGAATAAAATGGTTACCACAGGCTGGAGGGATTGGGGAATTGCAGAAATGTTAGCCAAAGGACACGAAAGTTTAGTTAGACAGGAGAAGTATGTTCAAGAGATGGATCATACATCGTGGTGACTGCAGTTAATAACAATATGTGGTATGCTTGAAAATTGCTAAGAGAGTGAATGAGCGTTCTCACCACAAAAGACAAAAAAAAAAAAAAGACGAAAAAAAAATGACAAGCATGTGAGGCAGTGCATATGTTAAACAGTGTGATTTAAGCCATTCCACGATGGATTATATATATATAATTGATGTACACCATAAGTATGTACACCATAAGTATGTACACCATGTTGTACACCATAAGTATGTACAATCTTTATTTGTCATTGTAAATATTAAATAAATGCTTTTTTTTTTAATTAAAAAAAAAAATAGGATGGGCATGGTGGCTCACGCCTATAATCCCAGCATTCTCAGACGCCAAGGTGAGAGGATTGCTTGAGCTCAGGAGTTTGAGACCAGTGTGAGCAACATGGCAAAACCCCATTTTTGCAAAAAATACAAACATTAGCAGGGCGTGGTGGGATGCACCTGTGGTCCCAGTTACTTGGGAGACTGAAGTGGAAGGATCACTTGAGCCTGGGGAGGTTGAGGCTGCAGTGAGCTGAGATCGTGCCACTGCACTACAACCTGGGCACACCTAGGCAACAGAGCAAACCCCTGTCTCAAAATAATACAAAATAAAAATAAAGTAGAAAGTGACTCTAGGATCATGGCACTGTCTTACACTTTCACCCTGTGAAACCGAGGTGCCCTTGATGGTCTGTATAAACGGGTCTTTGGTGTCATGACATAGATTTTTGTCCCCCTGCAACAGCATGAACAGGCTGAACACTTTGCCACGAGGCTTCGGCTCCCTGCCAGCTCTTGAGGTTCTGGACTTGACTTACAACAACTTGAGCGAAAATTCTCTTCCTGGAAACTTCTTCTACCTGAGTAAGAAACTTTCAGTTCTATAAATCTCCTCAACCCTGTACTTTGCGTTCTAAGAGGGAAATTTATTTGTCAGGACCCAAACTCCAAGAGAAATTATTGGACAGAGATATTTTTTTCTTTAGAGACTCCTTTTGAATATTCCTTCATAGCTCAGCAGTATGTGCATTTGATATATCGTTATGTGACACCATCGGGCTAAAGTGGACTTAGTAATGTCATATTAACATTCTGAGAGAGATTATATATCTAAATGAGATCAAGCCTCACATTTAGTTAAGAGATTTGACTTTCTTTTTAAATAGCATGCCAAAAAAAAAAACAGTATCTTCCCATGTTGCTATTAATTCTTTGTAGGATATTTGCCCAGGATATTCCAATTATTTATAAAAATATTAATAAACCACTAACAGAATTTTTGAATTTTCCATCCAGGATTCTTATTTTCAGCCTTTTAATAAGCACTCTTATTGACCTATTTATCCAGTACACAGGCATTAAGAAATTTTTGGCCACAGGTGAACACACTTTATTCTTTCATATGCAAACAAATTTCTTGCTGAAGATGCTTTTGAAAATTAAAAAATGATTTCTTCTGGGAACTTATGCACTATTTCGGACAAGGTTTGCTTCCCTTAAATGAGTGTTCTGTTTCTTCAAATAACTTATATGGCATTCACAAAATCTGAATTTTCTGAGCTGGTCTCTTAAATTTTATTTTTTACCTTATGTATTATCTCTCTATGACTTTATCAAGCACATGAAATCAGCTATAAAATATTTTCTTGGGCAGTGGAGCAACTGTTTTTGTTATGTTATATTAACATCCAGTTCTTGGGAGCTGGAGAGCTACAAAGATCACTTGAGGCTAAGAGTTTAAGACCAGCCTGGGCAACATAGAGAGACCCTGCCTCTAGAAATAAAAATTTAAAAAGTAGCCAGGCGTAGTAGCATGCGCCTGTGATCTTAGCTACTTGGGAGGCTGAGGTAGGAAGAGTGCCCGAGGCCAGGAGTTTGAGGCTGCAGTGACCCACTGCACTCCAGCCTAGGTGACAGAGCGAGACTCTGTCTCTAGAAAATAAATACTAGTAAACAAAACATATATCTAATTATACTCAGCTTTTATGGTTGAGGATAAACAGATGCTTTAGAATTTTAGCCTTCAGTAGTTCGGAATCGTATTATCATTGTGTAATAATTACGAACAAATTTCAGACTACTGATATTCTCCTTAAGTTAGGATTTACTCTGTTAACTTCATGTCATTGTTTTAGCCTCTTTGTCTTCATTTATTTTTGTCCTGAAGGCTGTAGAAACAAGCAATAATAATTAGTCAGATGATGGAACTGATGAGCTGTGGTTATAGCCTCCATCACCAGAAAGCCTTTCATTAATTTTTAACCCAGTGCTATTTACATAGGAAAAAGTCTGTTTTAACATCGTTGTATTCTCTTGAAAGAACCTTTTGCCTTAGGTATCCATAAAAGTGGCACAGTAGTGTTGTTTGTTTTCCTTTGATGCAAATGGAGAAATAAATGTGAATCAAAAGGAATCTATGAGAAAAACAGCAATCTTTTCTAAAAATGTGCTGAAACTCTGTGACCCAAAATGCTGGTGCCCACAGTTGTTAATTGAGTCAGTCCTCTTGGATATAGATGTTTTCCTGGACACACCAGCTACACAATAAGCCAGTAAATCTAAGTTTGACCTGCTTGTTATTATTGGGAGCCCTAGGTATGTCAAAGGCTTTTCACCAAGTCAGGGTTATTAATCAAAGCTGACTCCCTCGTATTGATCAGACCTGAAATGGTTGGGTTCCATGCCACCCTGTTTATATATTGCTGTTTAATTTGCAGCCACCCTGCGTGCACTCTATCTAAGTGACAACGATTTTGAAATCCTGCCGCCAGATATTGGGAAGCTCACAAAGTTGCAGATAGTAAGTAATTTATCTAAATTCTTAGAAAATCAATTCACTGCCGCAGCCTTGTAGGGGTAGAATCAAGTCAATTTGAGCAGGAGTAAGGTTTGTTTGGTGGGAATAAACCACTACTCGTGATAGTGTTTCTTGATTATCCGCTGGCACTTGTAAATAAATGGAAGGGACTGAGCTTTAGTAGAAGAGAGGACGTGAAGGAGGATGAGAGTTTCTGTGGAGCACCTTTTAATGTGTAAATATGTTGACAACTCCTTGTTTTCTTCTGTTTAGCTCAGCCTTAGGGATAATGACCTGATCTCGCTGCCTAAGGAAATCGGGGAGCTTACCCAGCTTAAAGAGCTCCATATTCAGGGGAACCGCCTCACCGTTTTGCCCCCAGAACTAGGTAAGGTTGCCGATGAATGAACTTAGTTCTGGGTTTCATGAATAACAGTTATCCCAATGTAGCAATTCTGAACAACCTCTCTCCTCTTCTTGACAACTACTCTGCACCTAGGCACCCGATTCTGATCATTTGAGAACCATTTGTCATTGACTAGAGTTGAGCTGTTATAGATTTGACCTTCCCCGATCCTGTGTTCTGCAGCTGTAGCGTCCCGTATATTAGAAACTGCTGATGAAAGATGACCCCACTCAGCTCCCCGCGTGATGGAGTGGAAAAAGCATGGGATTAGTAGTAAGAGCCTTATCCGTGGCGCCTCATCGACTAGCTGCGTAAGCTTTCTGGGTCTTGGTTGGTTATTAATAACTTTATCTAAGTATCACTCTTACTTTTGAACCCCTTAAATTTTTATTGACCTGGAAAAACTTTTACCAAATAGTTAAAGTAGTTGTTACGGCTACTTGAAGATGTTAATACCGCTGTGGGTCGTGAATTTGCCTCTTTCCTAATCCTGTCTCTAGTAGGAATTGTTAAATATGTTCTTGCTGGGAATGGGTTCTACTCCTGGCCGCTGAATCCTAATCCTATTCCTCTGCCAGGTCGTTCCTATTTCCAGAGTGGGTTTATGTCCCCCGCCAGAAATAACCTCCAAGCCAGTGATTCTGTTAACTGCTTCGTTCCACTGCAGAAGGTTCACGAGTTCCCTTATCTTTGCTTGTGCAGACCCTCCATAGCCTCTCATTTCTTCAATCCTTTGAACCACATTGTTGTCTCAAACTGCAATTATTTGCCTTTCTACTCCAAAATACCATCATTTTTAAGAAACACGTTGAAGAAGCAGTTCTTTAAACAAGTCTGGCGGTTTGAAGAGGCCATTTGTTAGAAATTAGAATGCAAGCACCAGGAGGGCAGGGGCATTTTTGCATTTGTTCCCTGGGGTACAGTAGGTGCTCAGAAAACGTTGAATGAATGAATTAATGAAGCAAGGACCTTGGATGGCAGGATGTTAGGAAGGTTATGAGCAGGCTGATGTGGCTAATTGTTACGCATAGGAAGACTGAGACACAGAACAGGCCTATTAGTGCCTAGAGTTCGGTTGGCAGCCATATTAGTCTAAAGGGAAGGCAGTCACGTGGTTTCCTGGAACAGCTGGAAAGTCCCGCCTCATCTCTTCCCATTTCCTTTAGCTCTCTTGTTAGTGTTAAAAGACCAGAGGATTATTTAATGACTTTTTTAAGGTTAACTCAACACTTCTCTTTACTGAGTTGCAAGTAGTCAAGTGTTGCTTTGGGAGCAGGGTTACAGAATCAAGAAACGCTTTTTGCAAACATTTTCAAGGCAAAAAACTTCTTGTCAAAGGAGAGATCTTGGGCCAGGCACGTGGCTCACACTTGTAATCCCAGCACTCTGGGAGGCCGAAGCAGGCAGATAGCTTGAGCCCAGGAGTTTGAGACCAGCCTGTGCTATGTGCTGAAACTCCGTCTCTATAAAAAGTACAAAAAATTAGCTGAATATGGTGGTACATGCCTATAGTTCCAGCTACTCCGGAGGCTGAGGTGGGAGGATCGCCTGAGCCTGGGAGGTCAAAGCTGCAGTGAGCTGTGATCGTGCCACTGTACTCCCACCTGGGTGACAGAACAAGACTGTCAAAAGGAAAAAAAATATATATATATATTACACAGTGGTTAATAACCACAGATGTTAGCATTAGTAATAGCTGGGGAGCTTCTGCGGAACTCAAATACTTGCTCCCTCCCCAACCTACTAAATCGGAATCCCCGCGTGTGAGGTGAATTCTTGTGTCATTTGTTGTAAAGCTCACTTGATGCTTCTGACATGTATCCTTGGTTAGCGTGGTTAGTAGAAACAGAAAAATAAATGTGTATTTTGATGTCATTTGATCTTACTTCATTTTTCAAGCTGTGAGGCAACGTAGGATATTAGGTTAAACGATTATTTTATCAGGCAGTAATTTGCCACAAAAATGCCGATTTGAACCTACGTGTGCCTATGTATATATTTTAAAATCTTACTTATTTTGCTTATCTTATTTAAATACTACACGAGGTCATATTTCTTCAACATTTCTGTTAAGCTTTCCATGAACAAATCATGTATGTTTTTATTCAGGTGTAGAATTGAGGGGGAAGGCTTTAAATGACTTTATTTTTGCCAGCCATATGTAGAAAAGCTTAATCTTAACGTTGGCCTGATAGCTGTTTTTCCTGATTATAGGCAAACACTTAGTTGTAAGTAAATGATAAATCTTCAGAAGTCACTGTCACAAGCAAAACTCAAGATGGAGACAAATGTACTATTTATTTTTGAATGGTGATTTTTTTTTTTAAAGTCAAGATTAATATAATACTAATATAGTAGCAGCTGTTATAATAATAGGTGATATCTATTAAGGCCTGGAATTGCAAGGCACTGTAAGTGTTTTTCCTGCAATATCGCCTATAATGATCGTAAGAATTATTAGCAGACTTGTTAGAGGTGAGGACATTGAGGTGTAGAGAGGGCTGGTTGGTGACATGTCTGTGGGGACATAGCTAGTGACTCACAGAGGCGAGATCTGAACCTGGCAGTCCCTCCTCTGGGTCCAGCTTCCTGATCACAGTGAGGTCCTCTTTCCTGCCCATATGCTGGTAAGAGGATTCCTAGAAATGCAGTTTTCAAGTTTGAACGAAACACAACCCCGGCACACTCTCCTGAAAAGGCAGGCGGCGAGGTGTTGCTGGATGGTGAGCTGGCGTGGGCTTTGCCGGCATGTGAGCAAGGTTAGCATAACACTTTGCAAAATGCAGCTGAGATGGCCTCTGCAAGAGAAATTGCTGGCCCTTTCCAAGCCAGTTGCATTGTCCCGGTGTTTCTTTCCCCTCAGTAAATATGCCCCACGATGGGAATGTCTTTGGTTTCTTTGTGTCCCCAACACCTGAGGCGACCATTTGAATGCTGCTCTGGACTGGCTGATGGGCAGTGCCGGGCACTGATGATGCACATGAAGCTTATGCTGCAGGTTTGCTTCTGGGGGTGTTTTAAAGTGTGGATGATGATCTCTCCCTGTATGTTTTTTACATATCTGAATACATGAGATAAATGCTTTCGAGATTTCATAATAAATCCAGAGTTTATTGACTTGTAACCTTTTTGGTACTGGTGTTTCAGCCAAGCAAGAGAATCCGGGCGAGTTCTGATTTGTCAGGTCTGAGAACACAGCAAAATAAAGTCAGGGGCTTGGCTGGCGTTTTAATATGTGATTGTATTACTTTACCTTTATTGTGTGTCTTTGAATAAGCTATTTAAACCGTTATGTCTGGTTCCTAAGTAGTAAAGCACTTGCTTTCATATTAGTCTGTATACCTATAAAAAATGAGATGTAAGTTGAGTCTCTCAGGTACCCATTCATTCATTTATTCATTCAGGTTAAGTTCCTACTTTAGGGCAGATCTTTGAGTCCAAGGAACTTGCCTTTTCTGGTAAAGTAAGATTCACTTATTCAACAACTGTTTGTTGAGCCTCTGGTATTTGCTAGGGATTAGGACAAGAGACAGAACACCTGTTATTGATGATGTTCTAGTGGGAGAGGACAGAAGAAAGAGAGAGAGAATATGAATGACAGACATGTGGTGTTAAGAGCTCTGGGAAAGAATTGAGCGTGGAAGGGAGTGCCTGGCTGGGGAAGGGGTAATCAGAGAAACCCTCACTCATAGGGTGGTGCCATTTATGCAGAGACTTAAAGGAAGGAGGGAGGTCTCCTGTCGGAGAGAACGGTAAGTGCAAAGGTCCTGGATGGGCTTATGTTGAGGAAGAGCAAGGCCAGTGTGGCTGGAACGGAGTGAGTGAAGGGGAGAGAGTTGTAAGCAATGAGCTCAGACAGGAAGTGGGGTCTGGTTCACATGGGAACTAGTAAGACATTGTCAGAACTTGGGCTTTTACTCCGTGTGAAATGGGCACTCCCATAGATGCTCCTGTCCCAATCACCAGAATATGAGAATTTGTTACCTTCTGCAGGGAAAGTGACTTTGCTTATGGGCTTTGGAGTCTTGAGATGGGGAGATTACCCTGGATTGCCCAGGTGAGCCCAGTGTAATCACAAGGGGCCTAGTAAGATAGAAGGAGGGTCAGAGGTAGGAGTAAAAGATGTAGTGGCAGGAGCAAGAGGCTGGAGTCACTCATGGAAGGGGCCACGAGCCGAGAAGTATAGGCAGCCTCCAGAAACTGGAAAGGCATGCAGCCGGATTTCCCCCACCGCAACCCCGAAGCCTCCAGAAGGAATGCAGCCTTATTGGCACCTCGATTTTAGCTCCATAAAATCCAGTTTTTGGACTTGTGCACTCTACAACAGTAAGAGACTAGATTTCTATTATTTTAAGCCACTGCTTGTAGTCATTGGTTAGAGCAGCGAAAGGAAACTGATACAAGTGGGAAGACATTGAAGGGTTTTGAGCAAAGGCATAGCATGATCTGACTTTCTTACTTAGACAGAGTCTCATGTGATCACCCAGGCTGGAGTGCAGTGGTGCAGTCGTAACTCACTGCAGCTTCCATCTCCCAGGCTCAAGGGATCCTCCTGCTTTGGCCTCCCAAGTAGCTGGGACTACAGGCGTGCACCACTATGCCCCACTGATTTTCTCAGTTTTTTGTGGAGGTGGGGTCTTGCTGTGTTGCCCAGGCTAGTCTCAAACTCCTGGGCTTGAGTGATCCTCCTGCCTCAGCTTCCTGAAGCACTGGGATTACAGGCATGAGCCATGGTGTGCAGCCCCTGACTGTTTTTCAGAGGAGTTCTTTGGCTGCTGTGCTGAAAATAGGCTGGAGGGCAGAGGGCAAGGGTGGAAGCGGAGAGTCCGAGAGATAGGAGACTATCATAGCAATCCTGGTGGGAGTAGATGCTGGCTTCATCCAAATGGTAGTGGTAGTGGTACAAGTAATGGTTGGATACTGGATCTGTAACTAACAGGAATTGGTGACAGCTTAGATGAGGGGTGAAAGAGTTAAGGTTA